CCCCAAAACCCCAAAACCCCAAAACCCCAAAACCCCTCAATAAGTGATAGCAGTTGAACTGGATATGTGAATTCTATTTTTCAAAGCAATTAGTCATTATTACAGTGCTCATTATAGATCTCTGGAAGATCTTCGATATTCTTTAGCTCTTCAATATTTGATTCATAATGCTCCTGAATTTGCTTGAGGACATCCATTTCTTTATCAAATCTTCTTTCACTTCCATCAATAATAGTTAGAGCTACTCCTTTTGTGTCAAATCTTCCTGTTCTACCAATTCTGTGGAGATAATTCTCATAATCTGCGTTTTCGAAACCATCTGCATCCTTAATGAATGGAACATCAAGATTGATCATCAACTTCATGTCTGAAATATCGATACCTCTGGATAAAACATTGGTAGCGAAAATGAATTGGAGCTCTCTGTTTCTAAACTGGGCCATGATTCTATCTCTCTCTTCTGGATCAACATTTCCGGTGATTATGCTTGATTTGTATCCTTTACCAGTCATATGCGCGTGTGCCATCTCTCCGAATTTCTTTGTGTTGACAAATACAATCATTTGGGTATTATCAAACTCATTGTAGAGATCTTCAACGACATTGAACTTTCTCACCTCCTTTGCAACAAAGTATAGCTGCTTCACTCCTTTAAGAGTCAGCTTCTTACTCTTGACTTTGATAGAAATAGAAGACTCTGGGATAATACCCCTGATTGCATCCCTCACATGTTCTTCATAAGTAGCTGAAAAGAAGAGTTTCTGAACCTTGGGGCACTTTTCGTCAATTTCTTGGATAAGTCTGGTGGTGACAGCACGATCTTCTTCGCTTCCGAAGAAATGGTCAGCCTCGTCAATAACAATCATCTTGATAGAGCTAAAATTAATCTTCTTCAATTTCATTAGGGTTTTACACTTTCCAGCAGTCATGACGGTTATTTGTCCAATTGTTGGCTTCTTTTCTTCTTTCTTAACCTGAGTGATGTTGTATTTGGTATATTTGTTAAGAATCTGGATCTGTTCCCAGATCTGGTTCACCAACTCTCTTGTATGAGCCAATACTAACACTTGGAGATTACTGTCATTCTCGTCGATTCTTAAAAGAGAGCATAATGAAAAAGCAAAAGTTTTGCCACTTCCATTTTGTGATTGGGCTACAATACTTCTCTCTGGATCTTCAGTCACCAAAGGAATAGCATAAGCTTGGATTTTACTAGGTCTCAGGACTTCCGCATCTCTCAGAGCTTGTTTGATTTTTTCAGGAATAGCGAGTTTCTCATCGTCCCAAGAAGTTGAAGAACTGAGGAAAGCACTCTCTTGGTTTCTCCTCCAGTCTTGGATTCCTTCACCAATCTGAACTTCCTCCTCGCCCTTCTTCTCTTCAGGGAGTTCCTTCTTTTCCTCTTCTTCCTCGACCTTAAGCTTTTCCATCTTGTCGGTGATTTCTTCTTTGGCTGGCTCCATATCCAAATTTGTTATTTAATATAAAATTATGGGGTTTTGGGGTTTTGGGGTTTTGGGGTTTTGGGGTTTTGGGG